CCATTATACTACTGGTAGTGTTTGGAGCAGGGATTAACCGAGATCCGCGCACCATGACCCACGTGGGTTATCGTTAGCCCAATTTCGGCCTTCAAAGGACGATATCTCCACAGCCAATCGTTTTCATCACAATCGCAATTTTTTGGTGGTTGTCCTGAGTCTTAGGAACAGTCTCATACAGGTATGGGCATTGGATCTCGAGTCCCGAGGGAGATACAGGTAGTTGTTCTGCTCTCGCAAATTTCGTGCCGGTGTGCGCGAATCGCCAACGGTCGCATTGTTCGACAGTTCACATCTCGGCCAGCATTCCATCAGACAACCTACAACCTGGAACATGTCTGAACAACCACCCAAGCGACGCAAATGTGGCGCTTGCAAGGGTGATGGACATGATCGACGCAACTGCCCTGCCCTTCGCGCTACACAGGCCGAAAATTTGGCGATTCCGGCCGTTGACAACCGAAATGGTGTTGATGGAGGACCATCAAGACTACCAATTGGAGCTACAATGCCAGAGATTATTCCTAACATCAACTGGGATAAGGTATGCTATGTTTTGTTTGACTTGGAGACAACTGGTGGGTCCAGAACAAAGGACGATATCATTGAGCTCGCGGCGATGGTTTTGGGTCCGGATGGCATCGCGATCGAAGATGGCTCATTTGAGAGCTTAATCCGTCCGCACAGGAAAATCACGCCCTACATTACAACACTTACAGGGATAACAAACGAGATGGTCAAAACAGCTCCCACATTTCCCGAGGTGATGAACTCGTTCTTCCGCTTTGTAGGTGGAATTGTCCGATCCCACTGCATTCTGTCGTCGACAATCGTCGATGCAATCGTTCTCGTTGCACATAATGGGCGAGCCTTCGACATTCCTTTCTTACTTCGTTCGTTGCAAGGCCATAATCTTCAGAGTCTTTTGTCGGACGATCCGCGCTACGGCTACTTCATCGACACATTGCATGTTGCAAGGACTTTTTTGGGTGGTTCAGCTGCATCACCAACGAACAACAGACTTGGAACCCTATTCCCGTTTGTTACCGGAGCGGAGATGGAAAATTCCCATCGAGCAATGGGTGACGTCAAAGCTCTTTACACCGTCTTCCGAAGTCCCCAATTTTGGGATCGAAGAATCGAATCACTGAATGCTTTCCCTCCTATCCCGGCGGTAGATGTTTCAACAGAGTCCGATTCAGACGAGTCGGACTCCGACACGGATTCGGTCGAAGGCAGGGAGAGGGTCTTGGTAGAACAAGACATCGACGAAAGTGATCCTAAAAATGAAGACGTCGACGAGGTCCTTGGTGATTACTGGCAAGATGGGGAGTTCATCCCCTCCGAAGTACCGGAAGAGATGTTCCAAAAATTCACGGAACGTTTCAGTTCCCCACGCCGTCCAGGTGAACGCCGAACTGGATTGCAGGTGTCGGAGGGAATGGCAAACTCACCAATCAAGGCATGGCGACTTATCTTCACTACCGCTATCTTAGAAAGGATAGTCAAGCATACAAACAAGTACGGTCAGAAGAAGTTGAGTCTCGACTGGACTCCGATAGACAAAGCTGACCTGACAGATTTTATCGCGGTCCTATTTGTAATGTCCATCCAGAAGAGGAAAGACAAGCCGTCGAATTGGTTCTCGTCAAACCCACTACTCGAATCACCTGTTGCAAAGAAAATCACAACCGGGCGCCAGTTCCAGAAGATGCTACGCTACCTGCATTGCTGTGACCCCGACCAAAACGCGACCTCCGACGACGGCGAATACGATCCATCCTACAAGATCCTGGAATTCAAGAATTCCCTGGAAAAGAGATGGGCTGCATTGTTTGTTCCACACCAGGAACTAAGTCTTGATGAGACTCTACTACGGGCATTTGGAAGAATGAAGTTCAAAGTGCGGATAATCTCAAAGGCCGCCCGGTACGGAATCAAGCTTTATGTTGTAACTGACGCGGCTACTGCTTTCGTCATGGGTGTTCTTGTCTATACCGGCAAATACACCTACTCTGATACGAGGTCAGAATCCACAAAAAAGACTGTTCAAGTCGTACAGCAGCTATGCGAACCGTTCCGGGGATCCCACAGGACAGTTTATGTAGACCGTTTCTACAGCTCCGTCGACTTGTTGAAACAACTGGAGGACATGCAATTGTACACTACAGGCACCATTCTCTCAAATCGCATTCCTAGGAGCATGACGATTGCCAAAAGCTCAAGAGAGTTCAAAGCAATGAACCGTGGTGATTCGGTCAGCCATGTCCTCACCTACACAACGACGAAAGGTGAGAGAAAACAGGCAGGTCTCGTCGCATGGAAGGACCGTAACATCGTCTACTGCATCACGAACGATACACCGACCGCCCCGATGGACGAGTGCAAAAGGAGAGGACAGGGAGGTATTGTGACAATCAAACGTCCACAGGTTATTACCAAGTACAACCGTCACATGGGTGGCGTTGATCTTGCCGATATGCGGCGACTTCATTGTCACTCAACGATAATGGGACAAAATCGTTGGTGGCTAAAACTGTTCTTTTACTTGCTGGACGTAGGCACTTCCAATGCACTTGTTCTGTACAACGAAGCAATGAATGGGAAGCAGGAACCATACAATATTGTCGACTTTAAGAACAAAGTGGTAGAAGCCCTGGTCGGGCCTGTCTTGGTGGATGACATCCCAAGTGATCAATCTGTCGTGCGGAGCGACAGCGATGCACATACTGCAGTTTGAAGGGGAAAGTAGCCAGAACCCGATACATGTGCAAAGGCTGTGGAGTTCCGTACTGCTGCATTGGGTCGGGCAAGACAGACAAAGACTGTTTTGCCTCGGCCCATGAAAACGAGGGTATTCGCGAAATTTGCATCCGACATTATCGGATGCAACAGACGAATACCAGAAAGGACTTGTTGAAGAAAAGAAGATAGAACCTTAAACTACATGTTATTAGCTATCAGTTTTTACTACACTGTGTGGTATTGGTCCAGTAGTTGTGAAACTGAAAGTGTTTTACGGTAGCGGGGCTCCATCTTGTCTCCCTTTTCTTGGTTTCGTGTACACAAGTACTAGAGTTCTACGGCGAAGGCGAATCGGAATTAAAGTTGCGAAGGGAAAAACCATGACCCACGTGGGCGATGGGGGGGACTGCTCGGATATCGGTTAAAGTCGTCAACGGACGTAGGACAGACACCAAGACCAGAGTTGCAGGCATTAACACATCCAAGCACACTATTCCTGCAACACTGCAATCCCCATCGCCACAAAGGATAGCAATGGAGATTCTGCGTTTTTCAAAAAAGCAGGCCTTGTGCTCGTGTGTGAACTGTAGCTCTGGCGACATGTGCTACTTCGCCATAGTTACATCTCGTTTCCCTATCTCTATGATAGCTCTCGCTAGCTAGAGAGTAGAGACACTAATACTGGAGTACTGGAGTAGTAGTGTATGTATCATACGTTCACCACGCCACTACCCCTGTAGCAGCATACTACAACGGCATACGTATGTATCTACCGTACTGGTGGAGCTATCGAGCACATGACGTCACTGGGATTGCAGAGAAGCTGACGTGACTGTGAGGTTCACAGTCAATCTCCTCTCTCCACTCGACCATCTTCAACTCATCAACAGGCCTTCAGATCAATCTCCTCTCGCCACTCGCCACTCGCCACTCGCCACTCGACTCAGACAATCGTACTTCTTTTTTTGCTTTTTTGTTGTTCCGCTGTTGTTCCGTTTCTCCGATGTGGACGACTCATTATCAACTGTAAGTACAGAATTCGCTCACATCACCAGATATATTGCTCGTGTCCAGCCCTGCTTCACCTCAAACAAACAAAACAAACACTAGTAGCGTTTGTTGAAATGATGATCAGCCCCCCAAGAAGGAACTGGTTCAAGCGTGTTCTCGGGTTTGGGTAAGTGCTCTCTGCAGAAAGGAGATATGAGATCCCACTTGCTTTATCACCGCTGATTCGTCTCTGGCTGTTCTCATTTGGTTGATGTTGATGGATCAGCCCTTACTTTCGACCTCGATCAAATGCATTGGAGGGAATGTTTGTGGCTTCCATTGTGGGGGTATGCAGCGGATACTATATCTTCAAACCCCTATTAGACGAAATCGCTGCCAATCAAGCGGAACGAAAACGAAGGGAGGCTATTGAAGCGACTTCGGGGTCCGCAGCGCCACATATTAGAAGCGCTCTACGAGATGACACGACCAGTGGACCTGCTGAGGCATGAACAATTATCTGGGGCAAGGTTTGTCAACCAGTCGGTGCAGTAAAGTATGGAATGTACCGTTCGGAGATGCGTCCGTGTACACGAACTATGGTCATCGTCGTCATCACTTTGAGGCGGATGCTATAGGTTTGATGCCATCGAATGCTGCCGTTTTCCTTCAAAGTTAGGTCATTCTGGAAGGTGCATGATTCCGGTACGACGATCACACAATACCTACGTCGTACATGCCGAAAAAGTGGGAGGTATTATTATTTGATACTGTAATGCTCTTGGGGTCTGCATTCATGATTTATAAACGACAAAAAACTTATTCACATCTGAAATGGTGCGACAGCATTCAGGGAGACTGGATTCTGATCAATGCTCGTACGGCCAGTAGAGTAAAGTTTTGGTTCACGGTGAGGCAATATCTTTTTTCGGTGATTTTCCTCTGCTAGTCGTATGCATTAGTGCTGTCGCTGTTGCTTTTTTTTGCAAGTTGCTTATGGTAGGCAGTGCAACTGTATGTTATCCAGCAGTTTCCGCAAAACCTGCGCTATTTTATGCTGTAGTCGGAGTTAGGTATAGCGGAGACACAAACAGTTGCCGTATTGCCTCGCACCCCTCAACGATACCAGATGATGCCCAGGACCCTTGTTTTCGCGCGACCTACTTCTTGATGCGCGCGTAGAATATCAGTACCGTATTCATTCAAGGTATGTTCGGGATCATGATGCATTTTTTGAGAAACGGGGAGTCAACAAATCCCCCCCATGGGCGCTTTCGAAAGCGCCCATAAAAAATATGGGCGCTTTCGAAAGCGCCTATAAAAAATATGGGCGCTTTCGAAAGCGCCCAAAAAAAATATGGGCGCTTTCGAAACCGCCCATAAATTCCTTGGTTGCGTCGTATACGAGCAGCAATACGAAAGTTCCACCAATCGACAAGTAGCAAATATCGGGAGTACGGTTGTTCTATCCTCCTCTTGTCGAAGTCACTTTTCACCATGAGAAAGTGTAAACTAAGGCCCGGTGTTGGCTGTATATGGGCGCTTTCGAAAGCGCCCATAAATTCCTTGGTTGCGTCGTATACGAGCAGCAACACGAAAGTTCCACCAATCGACAAGTAGCAAATATCAGTACGGTTGTTCTATCCTCCTCTTGTCGAAGTCACTTTTCACCATGAGAAAGTGTAAACTAAGGCCCGGTGTTGGCTGTAAAGCCACTATCCTCACTAAGTTCATCCACAGATTTTTTTTCCACCAGACTCCGGACGATGGTATCGCTCGCACTTGCTGCCGTTCTTGCTTGTTTCAATCAAAAGGTAAGGCCAAACACGCAGTGCCCCTACCAGTAATCAACTATGATGAAGTGAGGCTATGTCCAATCATTCGAACAAAGAAGTCATAGATTGCGATAATCATGAGGGTAGAGTTGTGGCAACTGCCAGAAAACTATTCTTGTGATGACTAGTAGGTGGTAATAAAACTTTTCGCTATTTCATTTGTATAAATTTAAGTTTCTAGTCTCGATATCAGACATCACAGCAACGGAATGCGCCCTTTGCAACAATTCGATTACATCGTCATTACTTTTTTCCCTTTGCTTTCAAGACATTGCCATATCCGGAGCCGCACCACCCCCTTCTGATGGTTCGTTACCAGCGAATCCAAACTGAAAGCCGAGTCGGTTTTTCCGCATCTGCTGCACCGGTCCTTTCTTGGCCAGATTATGTCACCTCTAGCTTGCTCTATGTTGTTTCCCTCGCTCCTTCAACGTATGGAGATATTTTGCCGTTCGGATTTCTTGCTTTATCTTGTCACGAAAAGCGTCCAGAGGAAATTCATTCATGTATTCAGGTCGAGATTTCCACAGCTCCATGGGCTTCATGCTCGGATCTTTGACGTAATCTTCCAAGTCATCCCAAAGATGCTCCTGTGCAGACGAACCCTGCCATTGGATAAAGCCCTTGTGAGAGAAAAGTGATGGTTTGTGATTCTTTTTGTAATTGTTGAAAGCAATGAGATCATCGTCTGCTCGTCGATCCAATTCAAAAATCTTGTTTCGAAGCCTATTCAAACGATTCTTCAATTTACTATAATCGTACAATGCGAGATCTGGATCAATAGAGTAAACGTCTTCCAATGACATCTGCTGGAAAGTCTTGTCATCAACTGGAATGATTCCCTCCAAAAGAGCGTTGTAGAGGATTCGTTTAGATTTGCTTTTGCGCCACTTCATCTTCGGCTCTTTGAATTTTTTGACTGTGCTTCAACACGGATCTCTCCAGCTGATACCGAATCAAAAAAATCTTCATTTCTGCCCTCTTCAATGATTTTGAAATGAGTCTTCACAGCATAGAAAATGTCGCTGTTGTTGCCATCAACAAAACGAAATGTGTAGCATTCTTGACTTTTCCGGCCTACAGTTTTCTTTTCATTTGACAGCAGCACAACGGTGGACCGATGTGAGGCATCAAAGTTATTTTGCTTCGGGTGGATGAACTTAGTGAGGATAGTGGCTTTACAGCCAACACCGGGCCTTAGTTTACACTTTCTCATGGTGAAAAGTGACTTCGACAAGAGGAGGATAGAACAACCGTACTCCCGATATTTGCTACTTGTCGATTGGTGGAACTTTCGTATTGCTGCTCGTATACGACGCAACCAAGGAATTTATGGGCGGTTTCGAAAGCGCCCATATTACATATTTTTTATAGGCGCTTTCGAAAGCGCCCATATTTTTTATGGGCGCTTTCGAAAGCGCCCATATTTTCTGGGGGGGATTTGTTGACTCCCCGTTTCTCAAAAAATGCATCATGATCCCGAACATACCTTGAATGAATACGGTACTGATATTCTACGCGCGCATCAAGAAGTAGGTCGCGCGAAAACAAGGGTCCAGAATCAGACTTACTGTTACAATAACTATAATAATATATTGTATATACTACGTATTATCCGAACCGAAGGTTGCCTCAGACATTGGATAGGGCAAGAAACCTGCCGGTCGCGCAGAAAGCCGAGTCCATCCTCGCCGCTCAATATGCGCGTATTGACACATCTCGCCTTCAATAAGACAATATATTTCCTCCCAAACTCCCCTAAACCTGGTTCTTCTAGAGTTCTCCTCCCCTCCCGGAGATATATTGGCCAATTATAATTTACCAAGGCAAGGTTGGCCAAACTCACACTACAGTGCCAACACAACGCCGTGCTTGCTCTTTATTACTATGGCGCAATTTATGTCTCTCTCCCTCTACAGCTACTCCCCACTCCCCAGTATCATGAGTGTGAATGCGTGTAGATTCACATTGTACTGGAGTGTGTTACGCCGCATGAAGATAATTTTGACATCAATAATCGCAATCGCAGCATACGATTTCGACGTAATTCACACTGGAGTGCTCAAACTTAACACTAAAACAAAAACAAGAGAACAATCGCACTCACTGTTGTTAAGGATAACGATATCGAAACTAATCGAATGAGCCAAACAAAGACTGGCCAATCACGAGTGTGCCAGTCCAGTTCTGAGTCACCCGATATAGTTGAAGTTGAAGCTGCACCAATGACGAGAACTGAAGTTGAAGCTGCAGCAACATCGCATCCAGCAAAGATGGCGAGTTTCCGATCATATGCAGATGTAGTCCGCAATAAGGAGAGAAAGTGAATGATCTCACTTTCTCTCAGAAATCTACTAGTGAAAGCGATTTGATATCGTTAGTATGCGTAGTGTACCGATGCGAATTCGTTCCTCTACGGCACGAGTTTAATTCGTAAGGTATTCTCAACATTTCTGAGAGAAAGGATTCATCCAAGATGAATGAGAAAGGAGAGGGCGACGGCTCTCCAAATGAAGCCAAAAACAACATCAGTGCCAACGTTAATGACCAACGCCGCCAACGGTCCAATCGTAGGGACAACGGCATGGCCACTGGAGAAGTTAATGCGTCTCGTTTCACCGGCAGTACCGATGGCCTTGAAAAGTATGTGTACGACATCGGTGACAAGAAGGAAAGCGCCGAAAATTTCAACCGAATCACTATGAAGATCGCCAACTACATCGCCACGAACGTCAAGGATGCGGGAGAGTTTCGCCGTGCACTCAAACCAGACGTCCTTAAGTTCGAGGAGCTTGTCATCCCAACGCTTACGGAGAAACAGAAACAGGACACTACCCTGGTAGACATCTGGAGAATCGACCTGAAAGAATGTCGTGAAAAGATGCGAGCCAGGGAGGAAGCAAAGAAGCAGGCATTCTCCATCATCCTTGGACAATGCTCGATGGCAGTGACCGACAGGTTGGAGTCCAGTGAAGAGTGGGAAAGCATTGACGAGAGTTCTGACGTACTGCAGCTGCTGAAGCTGATTCGCAAGTCGCTCTATACCCGGTCGACATCCAAGCAACACACCCACAGTCTGCAGGAAGCTCAGGACCGTTTCATGCTCTTCCGCCAGGCAGGGCACATGAACGTCAATACCTACTTCGAGACCTTCAAGAGCCTCTATGAAGCATATGAGCATCTCGGCGGTGGCACGGGCCACAGCCTTGCGGGGCTTCAACCATTCCTCAAGCCCAAGGATCCGACCAACGTGACATACCAGGAACTAAAGGACGCAGAGAAGGCGGCAAGGGAGGAGTTCTTAGGCATCCGGCTTATTCGATGCAGCGACCCAAATCGCTATGCTGGGCTGCTCGCGGACGTCGAGAACTCCTACACTCGAGGTGTTGACGGATACCCGCGAAGACTCTTACGAAAGCCTATGAAATGCTCGTTAATTATGTTGATGCCACTACCGTGCAGCGCAACAGACATCCACACAACAGGACCCGTCAGGGGATGTCGTTTGCGCAGAATGGCAGGACTGAAGCAGGACGAGGAGGAAACGGTGGCAGAGGTCGCGGCGGCCGTGGGCGAGGAGATGGCGACGCTTCAAGGACTAATGCTGATGCAGATAATAACAATAATAAGTCGTCTTCTGAGGAGTACCCGGCCGCTCACCCTAGTAGTACCACCGCAGTTCCTTCCACCATCACTCGTTCCTCAAAGCGTGATCGACTCCCGGTGCGCACTAGGCTAGCACAAGTTTTCACTCAGCGTTACGGCAGACTTCCGAAATCGTGGATGCTGGCCGACAGCTGCTCGTCAGTGGAAAATCGTCTCGAACCCCGACCTCCTCCATGACATACATGAAGCGAAAACTCCCCTTGTCTTACACTGTAACGCGGGTTCCGTCACCCTCACACATCAGGGCTACCTAGAAGGATACCCAGACCCGGTATGGTACTACCCGGACGGAATTGCGAACATACTGAGCCTACGGAATCTTACGAGACACTACCGCATCAGCATGGACAGTAGTTTACACAATGGTCTACGCCTTCACAAATGCGATGGGACAACAATCGATTTTCTTCCGTCGGATACTGGCCTATATTACACAGACGCCGGTAACTTCGCTGCGACACCTGCTACATGGGCCCTTGTGACCACCGTTAAAGAACAAGCAAGCCGTTACACTAAACGTCAACTCGCTGAAGCTACAACAGCGCGCCGTATGCAAAACATCATCATGCATCCAAGCGATCGACAGTTGTCAGATGTTGCCATACATCACCTACGCGGGTGCCCCGTCACCAAGCGCTCGATCCAGATTGCGTCCGACGTTTTTGGACCAAACCTTGGGAGTCTGAAGGGTAAGACAGTCCATCGCCCGTCCCCTCACGTACAGACTAATACCGATCCCGTTCCCCCAGAGATCCTTGAACGTCATCGTGATGTCACCCTGGCTACCGATATACTGTTCGTCAACAAGATACCATTTCTTCTTACCGTTTCTCGTGACCTTCGTTTTGTCACCGTCTGTGACCTCCCAAACCGGCAGCTTCCCA